TTAATAAAACAAAACTACGAAATAAGAAATCAGAAATGCCAAATGAATGCGAAATGAGAAACAAAATGCGAAATGGGAAACAAGAAACTAGAAATGAGAAATGAGAACTAGGCAATGAAAAATGCAAAATGAAACTTGAAAAGTGATAAATTAGAAATGCTAAATGCGAAATAGAATTATAAATGCGAAATAAGAGATGAGAAATGAGAAATAAGAAATGCGTAATGAAAAATGAAAAATACTAAACGAGAAATAAGAAATGCAAAATTAGAAATTAGGAATGCGAAAAGCCAAATGCAGAATGAGAAATAAGAAATGCGCAGCCGGAAATGAGAATTAAAAAAGAAGGGGAAATGAGAAATGAAGAATCGGAAATGAAAAATGCGAAATGTAAAACGAAAAATGATAAATAGAAATGCGATATAAGAAATAGGAAATGAGAGATGCGGAAGAAGAATGTAACAAGTAAATATGTGACTTTCGAGGAAACTGAGTTGTTTTTTAAAGACGAATGACTGTGTTCTTGACTCCTAGAGTACGAAAAAGTAGGTCCTGCGTTTCCATCTGTCTGTCGTCTATCGGTCATCTGTCTGTCTACCAATTTATATTAGACGGAAAATCTTCCAAACTACTGGGCTGATTGTTGTCAAATTTTATGTTTATATGTTAAAAATTGTCAAAGGTTAATTTACGATAGTAAATATTATTAAAATTTTATGAAATAAGGTACTCCTGCACTTGTGGTTTATGAATCCGTGTTGCATTTTTACCCTAGACATCCAGATTTTTGCAAAAAATCAAAATTATATAACAACATTATTTTACAATTTAACTTCGAAATTTCGAAACCGAATGTTCTGAAATCTTGCAAACGTTTAAAGGTTGAAAGAAACATGATAAATAAAAAATGTGTGTAATTTACGTATCTGTGTCTGGAAAATCGAAAAACTGAAGAAACAAAAAATTGAAAACAAGAAAAAACGACACGAATCGAAAAATTGGAAAAACCAAAAATTGTGCAATCGTCAAAATTGTAAACTGTAACATTGGAGATGGAAAAACTGATAAATTAAATTTCGAGAAACTGAAAAATCGAATAAATGAAAAAGTTTTAAAATCCAGTAATTAAAAAATGGAAGAATTCTAAAATCGTAAAGCTGAAAAGTTGAGAAATTTTAAAAATTTAAAAATAAAATGAAAATTAGAAAAACATAACATGTGCAATTTATGAATCCGTATTGAGTTTTTTGCCTAGGCATCCAGAATTTTGATAAAAAATCAAAAATACTCATAATAACAACTTTTCCAAAATAATATAATTTCATTTTCTTTTAACGCAAATGCATACTTTATTGTTATCTAAACGTTTAGAAATTTTAATTTTTTTAAATCTAAGGTACAATTGATTTAACATTTTCGATTTGTGATGACGTCATCAACTTTTTCAAGGGTTGAATATGTTAATTTTGATATATTCATCACAACACCAATCACATCGTTTCAAAAATCACAATGAAAATACGAACAATCGAAAAATCTAAAAACCGAAAAATCGACAAATCCAAAATTCGAAAAAATCAGAAATCCTGAAATCAAGTCGAAAAATTGGAAAATAAATCTAATAATCGAAAAATCGAAATACTGAAAAGTTGAAACATCGAACGGTCGAAAAGTTAAGAAATCGAAAAATTGGGGAAATGAAATATCAAACAATTTGAAAAATTGAAAAATCGAAAATTTGTAGATTTTATGTAATCGAAAAGCTCGGAGGACGAGAAAGACGGAATCGACAATTCGAAAAATCGAAAAACTGGAAGATCAAAAAACTGAAAAATGGCAAAATCAAAATGGAAAATCCAAAAATCGATAAACCAAAAGTCTAATAATCGAAAAATTCGAGTAACTGAAAGATCTGAAAATTGAAAAATCGAAATTTTACATAATAAGGTTGGAAAATGGAAAATTAAAAAACTGAGGCCACGAATAAATATTATTAAAGAATCGAGAAATTGAAAAATCATAAATTTCAATTTCTCGATTTTTTGATTTTTTGGTTCTGTGGTTTTTCAATTTGTAGATTCTTGGATTTATCAACTTTTCGATTTTTCAATTCCTTGATTTTTCGACTAAAAAAAATTGAAAAATCCAAACAATGAAAATACGAACAATCGAAAAATCAAAAAACCGAAAAATCGACAAATCTAAAATTCGAAAAAATCAGAAACCCTGAAATCGGAAAGTCGAAAAATTGGAAAATAAATCTAATAATCGAAAAATCGAAATACTGAAAAGTTGAAACATTGAATGGTCGAAAAGCTAAGAAATCGAAAAATTGGGGAAATGGAATATCAAAAAATTTGAGAAACTGAAAACTCGATATTTTGTAGATTTTATGTAACCGAAAAGCTTGGAGGACGAGAAAGACGGAATCGACAAATCGAAAAATCGAAAAACTGGAAAATCAAAAAATTGAGAAATGGCAAAATCAAAATGGAAAATCCAAAAATCGATGAACCAAAATTCTAATACTGGAAAAATTCGAGAAACTAAAAGATCTAAAAATTGAAAAACCGAAATTTTACATAGTAAGGCTGGAAAATGGGAAATTAAAAAACCGAGGTAACGTATCAAGAAATTGAAAAATTACAAATTTCAATTTCTCTCGATTTTTCAATTTCTTGAATTCTTGGACTTTAAAAAAAATTGAAAAACACTGAAAATACGAAAAATCGAAAAACGGAAAAATCGACACATCTAAAAATCGAAAAAATCAGAAACCCTGAAATCGAAAGTTGAAAAACGAAAACTCGAGAAACTGAAATATCGAAAAATTCAAAATTCGAGAAACTGAAAATCTAACGTTGAAAATTTGAAAATTTGAATAGTCGAAAAATTGAAAAAGGAATTTACAAATAACAATCGAAGAATCGAAAAAGTGAAAAATCGGGAAATAATAAAATTAAAATTTCAATTTTTCGATTTTTCAATTTCTAGGTTTTTTCCAATAGGAGACCTTGTGTTTTATTAACATATCTTAAGTGAATTTCATCTATCCACAAAATATTGTAACACGGATGTTAAAAATAACCTTAACGACACTTCTTTTTCGAACATTTCTATTATTACAAAAGTTCTAGAAAATTGGAATAACGTGGCAACATCGCACCAAAATCTCAAAAATAAACTATGATTGTAAGCTTGAGGAAAAGTCAATCAATATATGTAAAAATATATAGAGTGCATAGTTAAAAATAATTTTAGAGTCCTCAAACAACCGTACAATTTTGGTCTATGACTCACCTTGTATATTAAATTTTGCTGTAATACTAATAACTCATAAATAAGATTTTTTTATATCACTTTAATAGAAATTTAAAAAATTATTAAAAAAAATAGTTGAATTTTGCTATGTCATCGTAATATTAAAATCGCTGCGAAAAAGCTTTGTATAATATCTTAAATAATCCGTAAAGTTGAAGTTTAATTTATTTTGGGTCCGACGGAAGCCAGAAACTTACAGTTTCGTATCCGATATTTTCACTGATAATTTCTACTAAACAACATAAAACAAAGACATTTTGCGCTTAAAATAAAATAATTTTGTAGCAGATAAGATTAGCGAAATAAAAATTACAAAAAAAGTATAGGTGGTACCAGATTAAAAAAAAATGCAGGTAAGCAGCTAACTCGAAATTTTGAAGATATTTCCACTAAGTAACTAATAGAAACGCAGTTTTCAAAAATTTGTAATAGTTTAAAATAAATATCCTCCTGGTTTGTTAGTCCCACAAATTTTAAAATTTAATTTTCTAGTTATAGATAGATTAATAATAATTAAAAATCAAAAATTCACATTTTTAAATAATTAATCTTTTCAATTAGTGATTACAAAATTTATCTAACTATTTATGCTAAAAGCATTCACTGTTTCAACACTAATTCATTAAAGAAAATTTGACTTTAGTAAGCGACGGCTAAGAAAAATATTACAAAAAATTTATTATAATCATAATTTACTAAAAACTGGTTAAAAATAAAACGGTGCAATATAATTGTGATTCATAAATTTAATTTTATATAATATAAAATCACGTAAACTTGTCTTATCTTGAAAAAACCGGCCGCAAAATCTCAAAATATTTTTTCAAAAAAAAGTATTTATCGTTAAAAATTCCAAGTTCTAGAAGAATTACGATGACTTAAAGTAGTAGCATTTACGTAAATTTGGACACAAGTATGCACTATGTGCACCCGGCGCATCCACCAATATTTTCATGTACGTGGTTATAAACTAGTATGAAAAATTTAACACAAAGTTAAAATTTAGAGCCACCAGACACGTTTGTCTTCGTTAAATATAGCCGCCACCATCGAAATTCTGGTACTAAAAATATTCAACGACAAAAATAGCAATGAATTTTTAAAAAATCGCCCGATTTATGACGTCCGGATTTTTAACTAAGTATTTAATTCAAAAAAACGATAAAATATCGTACAATTTGTCGAAAAATTGTTGATAATAAATTTAGAAATGTAAGTCGTAGTTCTCAATCCGACGCGTCGGCAGTCGTCTCCCTTTCACCCCCCGACCGAATTTCAAAAAACTAAACCCCCCAAAACCGATTCAAAAATCCAAAACACAAGTCCGCCGCCCCCGCTCCCCAAGCAAATAAAGCCGCTTCTTCGTCCCTCTCCGTCTCCGGCTGAAGGGCGATCCTCAGCCGGCAAACTAGATTATTCACAATAAACTTTCGCTGCTATTAAATTATTTAATTTGAACGGTGGTGGGGGCCGCCGTAGTGGCTAAGGTCTCGGTGTAACCTTGTTAGCGAAGCACAACTGAGTTATGGTCTTATAATGGCCGGAATGAGAAAAAGAAGCTTTCGCACGGCTTCGGCATCCGTCAGTCTGCCTCCAGCGGGCTCCGGGAGCGCTCCCGGAGGCGGCGTCCGAGTGCCGTTTTCGCTACGAGCGTCGCGCTGCCCGGAAACTGTACTTACTCTGCAGGTTCATCGAGGACGGGAACATGGAGGCGCGGTGGACGTCCTGCACGTGCGGCCTGCCGCCCATCACGGCGCACTGCGAGCCCGCCGCCCCCGGGTGCACCATGCCGCCGCCGGGCGGGTTGTACGAGCGCGCCATGGACGCCGCCGCCGCCGTGTAGCGGTACGCCGCCTGCGACATCTGGCTGCACGAGGTGAGGTCCCCGTAGGAGCAGGGCATGTTGAGCCCCGGGTCCATGCCGCCGCCCATGGAGTCGAAGCTCTGGTTCAGGTAGGAGTAGTCCATGCCGCGAGCGCAGCGAGCGATTCGAGCGAAGCGAGCGAAGCGAGCTCCCAGAACAGCGCACCGCGGAAGACCCGACTGTCTGCAAAGTCGAAATCAAATGATAAGCTTAATTCAATAACTCCGCTAGGGGAGGACCGAAATGGGGTGCGGAAGGCGCGGGGCGGGGCCGCCCTGCATGGCGCGGGGGGCGGCCAATGCGAAGAGGGCGCGCTGCGAGAGCTTGCGCCCGATTGGACGGAGGGTCTTACGTCATCAACCCTTGGAGCACGCGACTCGGAGTGACAAGTCGCACACATATGAACGCTGAATATTAAAATGCTACTGTTTCATATTAAATTTGTATTCGGAAGGCTCATCAGGGGTTTTTGCGACTCCACATCAACAGCTGAGACGGACTGGAAGGATTCCGGGACGATTTTTTGACACCTGTAGGACAGAAACGGCGCCGGATGCTTTGTAAACAAATGCGACGCTGTTGTGTCTCTGTTTGGGGTGGAAAAGCGAAACGCGGGCGGCGAACTACCCTACGAACGAAAAGAAACCCCCAAACGCTATTATTTTATTCTATTACGTGCATCGCTTTTTAATATTCAAACATATTCAACACATCTTGGAAACAAACCTTAATCCTAGATTTAACCCCCTCAATATCAAGGGCTAATTAGATTTCTAAAAAATATCTATTTAGCGTCATTTGCACTAGTTCTTAACGAATTACCCTCAAGTGTGTTTCTTGCGCTTACTCTAAATGTCTACCTACTTCCCTTATATAGACCCTATAACCCATACATATTTTCTTGACGTTTCATGACCCCTACAGCACGAAAAAAGTGATCTGCCATTTCCGTCTGTTTATCTGTATATCTGTATCAATTTATATTAGACACATAATATCCGAAATTACTGGACCGATTGTTGGCAAATTTTGTAGTATATTAGAAATAGTACATGGCTAGGTAATTATACAAACCTACAAGTTGATGACGTCATTTCAAAGAATTCTGTGTTTATTTGATTTAAATGTTATATAACAATATACATTTATACTTGTGGTGTACGAATCCGTTTTGAATTTTTTCCCAAACGTCGAAATTTCCAAAAAAATTAACAGCATATAATAGTTTTTACCACTAATTGAGACTATACGTCTTTATTGAATGAATCTTAATCCTCTGCTTTGTGGAGACAAACTCATTCAAATCAAACTAATTTCTACGTGACATTCTTTCGATGTAAACACTTGAATTAAGCTTGTTTTAGTGCTGAGAGGACATTTTATCCGTTGGTTATCTGCTTTAAATATATTTTAGCAAGTTTTTAAAGGATTTTTGGATTATTCCAATTTTCGAGTTTTCAATTTCTTGATTTTTCAATTTGTTTTTTCTTCAACTATTCGGTTTATCGAATTTTCAATTGTCTGATATGTCAGTTTGGCGCTTTTTCAATTTCTCGATTCTTCAATTTCTAATTCTTCGGGTTTACCTATAAAAAAATTAACAAACCTAAAAACTGAAAAACCGAAAAATCGAAAAATTGAAGAACTGAAATATCAAAAAATTCGAGAATGTGAAAGGTCTAAACATTGAAAAATCGAATGTTGTATGTGATAGAAAAGCTGGGAAATGGAAAAGTTAAAAAACCGATACAACGAATAACAAAAATGAAAAATCGAAAATTTGAGTAATCGAAAGATAGAGAAATCGAAAAATCGAGAAGGAGAAAGACGAAATCGAAAATTTGAAAAATCAAGAAATCCAGAAATCGGAAAGTTGAAAAACGGAGAATTTGAAAAACTGACAAATTGAAAAATCAAAAAGAAAAATCAAAAAATTGATAAACCAAAAATCTAATAACCGAAAAATCGAAAAACACCGAATGGTCGAAAAATTGAAAAATCCAAAATTTGTATATTGTATGTAATCGAAAAGCTGGAAAATTGAAAAATTAAAAAATCAAGACAACCACTAACAAAAATAAATAATCGAAAATTTAAAAAATCGGGAAATCGAGAAATAGGAAAGTCAGAAAATTGGAAAATCAAAAAAACTGGGAAATGGAAAAAACAAAAATAAAAATCAAAAAATCGAAAATTGATGAATCGAATAGTCGAAAAATTAAGAAATCTAACAATTGAGGAAATGAAACATCAAAAGGTTCGAGAAATTTAAAGCTCTAAAAATTGAAAAGTCGAAAATTTGTATCATGTATGTAATCGAAAAGCTGGGAAATGGGAAAATTTTAAAATCGGGACAACGAATAACAGAAGCGAAAAATCGAAATTTTGTATAATAATCGGAAAATAGAGAATTCGAAAAATCGAGGACAAGAAAGACGAAAAGGAACACTTGAAAAATTGAGAAATCGAAAAGTCGAAAAATTGGAAAATCAAAAACCTGAAAAAGCAAGAAATCAAAAAGGAAAATCCAAAAATCCATAAACCAAAAATATAATAACCGAAAAATCGAAAAACTGAAAATTTAAAACATCGAATGGTCGAAAAGTTAGAAATTGAAAAATTGGAGAAATGAAATTCGGGAATTGAAAGGCCTGAAAATTTAAAATTCGAAAATTTGTATATTTTATTTAATCGGAAAGCTGGAAAATGGAAAAATTAAAAACCAAGACAATGAATAACAAAAGTGAAAAATTGAAAACTTGAATAACTGAAAGATAGAGAAATTGAAAAACCGAAAACGAGAAAGACGGAACCGAAAATTTGAAAAATCAAAAATCGGAAAATCTGAAAACTGGAAAATCAAAAACTGAGCAATCGAAAAATCAAAATGGAAAATCCACAAATTTAATAATCGAAAAATCGAAAAACTGAAAAGTTGAAACATCGAATGGTCGAAAATTTAAGAAATCGAAAAATTGTGGCAATGAGATATCAAAAAATTTGAGAAACTGAAAAGTCGAACATTTGTATGTTGGATATAATCGAAAAGCTCGGAAATGGAAAAATTAAAAACCCAAACAACGAATAACATAACTGAAAAATCGAAAATTTGAAAAATCGAAAAATCAAAAAGAAAAATCCAAAAATCGATAAACCAAAAATCAGATAATGTAAAAATCGAAAAACTGAAAAGTTGAAACATCGAATAGTCGCAAAATATCAAAAAATTGAAAAAATTCGAGAAACTGAAAGATCTAAAAATTGAAAAATTGAAAATTTACATAATCAGAAGATCGGAAAATGAGAAATTAAAAACCGAGGCAAGGAATAATTGAAGAATTGAGAAATTGGAAAATCACAAATTTCAATTTCTCGATTTTTCAATTTCTAGGTTTTGCGGTTTTTCAATTTGTGGATAATTCAACTTTTCGATTTATTCAATTTCTTGATTGAAAAATTAAAAACCCAAACACTGAAAATAGGAAAAATCGCCAAATCTAAAAATCGAAAAAATCAGAAACCCAGAAATCGAAAGGAATTTCCGAGAAATCGAAATATGTAGGTACTTCAAATTAAAAAAATAAATAAATATTAAAGAATGTAAAATCAAGAAATGAAACAAAAATCAAAATTTTGAAAATTGAATTGAAAACCGAAAAATCAAATGGAGAAAATTTAAAAAAACAAAAAATTTAAATATCGAAAAATGAAAAACTGAAGAACTAAAACATCAAAAAATCGCAACATTTTGAAAATTGAAGGATTGAACAACTGAAAAATTGAAATGACGAAAAATTGGGATATCGAAAAATTAAAAAATTGAATCAAAAAACTATAAGATCGAGAAATGAAACAATAAAAGATCGAGAAATCAAGAAATCGAAAATTCAAGAAGTTGAAAAATCGAAAAATTGAGAAATCGAAAGTGCCCAGAATCCAAAAATCAATAAGATAAAAATTAAAAAAAAATAAAAAATTTAAGACTAAATAGGAAAAAGTCCAAAAAATTCGAGAAATTGAACAATGGAAATCTCCATAAATCAAGAAATCGACAAACTGAAAAATCGAGAAAATGAAAATCGAAAAATGTAAACACCGAAAAATGAAAAATGGTAAAATTCAGAAAATTGTAAATCTCAAATATGTATATATAAAACGGAGAAGCCGAAAAATCAAAAAATCGAGAAACTGAAATATCAACAAATTGAAAATTCCAGAAACTGAAGCCTTTTCCCTGTTTTAATTTGTGGATTTTTGGATTTTTCAACTTTTCGATTTTCCAATTTCTCTGTTTTTCGACTTGAAAATTAAAAAATCTAAAAATTGAAGACACAAAAAATCGAAAAACCTTAAAATTAAAAAAATCAGAAACCCCGAAATCGACAAGTAGAAAAATCGAAAAATCGAGAATCTGAAATATCGAAAAATTGATAATTCTAGAAACTGAAAATCTAAAATTGAAAATTCGAACATTTGAAAAGTCAAAAAATTGCGAAATATATAAGAATTGAACAAGGAATTTTACGAATATCAATTGAAGAATTGAAAAAGTGAAAAATCGGGAAATTTAAATAATTGAAAAATAAAGAAATCAAAAAATGGAAAAATCGAGAAATTGAAAGATCTATAAACTGTATAAAATTTGTATAATGGAAAGGCTGGGAAATGGAAAATTAAAAACCGAGACAACGAATAATGAAACATCAAAAAATTGAAAGATTAAGAAACTGAATGATCTAAAAATTGTATAATCAAAAAGTTGGGAAATGGGAAAATCAATAACGAATAATTGAAGGATCGAGAAATTGAAAAGTCACTAATTTCGATTTCTGGAATTTTCAATTTGTAGATTTTGCGATTTTTCATTTTATGGACATTTGGATTTTTCGACTTTTTTATTTTTCAATCTCTCGATTTTTCGACTTAAAAAAAATGAAAAATCTAAAAATTGGAAATTCGAAAAATCGAAAAACCAAAAAATCGGAAAAATCAGAAAGTCTGAAATCGAACAGTTGAAAAATCAAAAAATCGTGAACGAAAAATTGGAAATTCGAGAAACTGAAAATCTAAAATTCAAAATTCAAAAATTTAAATAATCGAAAAA